GAGTATTCGGGCACAAAACTGTGGGTAGAAAGGTTCCAAGACACCTGGCAGTACTTCTAAACTTGCTGGAATGCTAGATCCAATTGGGTTTCAGCAACAGACGACTGAAATTAGGGACAGAGTTAGGTTCAGGAAGACTTCTAGTACTGCACAGGCCACAGAACCCTCACAGCCAAGTTTCTTTATATTGATTTCTTAAAGAAGCAACACAGGGCATGGAGATTCTGTGCACAGAAATGCCAAGGGACAGTTAACTTTTCCATTGCCTTCCACATTTCTGCTCCAAGTCATCTTCCAAAAACATTATTCCCCCTAACAAACAGGGTTTGGCAGGCTTGTTTTCCATCCTTTGCATACAAAAGGAAGTGGGCAGCATATGAGGAGAGGAAGAGTTATGTCTGCCAGGAGCAGAAAAGCAGCCGGCAAGGGAAAATTAGACACCCTAACCCTCTGCTGCTTCCTAGATGGCATCAGTGATTCATTACACGCATTTCTTCCTTCAGAATTAAAAAGAGAAAATATAATGATGTCGCCCTAGCAATTAACACAGACACACCCATCAACCAAAGGAAAAGGAACTGAGTAATTACAGGCAATTCATCAGCTGCGATGAGGAAGAAACCACCAGATGCAGAAGCTTCTAATCAAATGCACAGTAGCTCTGAAAGGCCACACACGTACTTCCTCGGCTCCACATTTTCTGCTACCATGTTCTGTTCCGTTTAATAACCGTAAATTAGGCCACAATAATGACAACAGGTTCTAAGTTTTAGATTTTTTGTAAAAACAAACATCAAACCACAAATAAACGAAGAGCAGCAATTATAGAGTGAACTGCCAAGGTAGCAGGAGCCTCGTGGCACAGTGGTTAAACTGCTGTACTGCAGCCAAAACTTTGCTCACGACCTGGGGTTCAGTCCCAGGTAGCCGGCTCAAGGTTAGCTCAGCCTTCTATCCTTCCGAGGTCGGTAAAATGAGTACCCAGCTCGCTGGGGGGGGGAGGGGGCAATGTGAAGCCTGCATAATTAACTTGTAAATCGTCCAGAGAGTGCTTGAAGTGCTATGGGGCGGTATATAAGCAGCAAGCTTTTTTTTTCTTTAGAAGCAATATTCGCCAGTTCAGAGACATTCCCTTCCTTGATGAAGCCAAATTATGGACTGAGCAAACCACACTCCAGAATGCCAGAAATTATTCTGAGAATTCAAAGATAACACGAAGGCTTCTTAGACACATTGGTCACTCACCTCCATTCTCATGCAACTTCCCTCGATAGATCTTGTCTTCTACTACATCCGTCCAGTAGAGGGAGCTCTGATTCAGATGGAAGTCCAGGGCAATCGTGTTGCGCAAACCAGGTACTAAGACACTGTAATCTCCCTTGTTCAGATCAATGCGCCGGATCTCATGGCGGTTGGAGAAGATAATAAAAGGCTTAAAGGGGTCTGGAAAATTAAGTGAGGGGCATGATTGTTGGTGCTATTACCTTTTCACAAGCCTTCAAGCTTCGGAACATCTGAAACTACTTGAATGCTAAAAGAAACTTAACACAAGAAAGGGTTCTGAATCTATAAGAGATCAAAAGTTTCTTATAGGCAGTCTTCTTTTTTTGCTTCATCCTTGCTCTCTTCAATGCATACCAAGCACTCAATTTATTAGAAATCACTGCAACATTAGATATTATCTTTAATATGAACATAAATATACACAAGGATTTGCTGTTCCTTTCCTCATGCCCATAGTTATGCTGTATGAATCCGAGCTTGGAAAAGGTAATTTCTGTATTACAACTTATGAGCCTGTATCTCAGCACAGTCAGTGGCTGTACAGGATGGGAGATTCTGGCCAGGGATGGGAATTACTGTATTGTAAACAAAAGATGAAAAACAAAAAAGAGGCTTTAAAAAAATGTTTTCTTCTTTCAGTGATGCTCAAAAAAAGAGCCTCTCGTGTCAACAAAAGAGGACATGGACGTTTCAGGCTTTCTATGTTTCTTTCTTTTGTTCAACCTTCCTTTCATCACTCCTCTGTCAAATCCCCTGGGCACATCCAACATAGATCCTTTCCTTTTTCCCCTCACTTTTTGGGGTGAAATTTGAGACTTTGAAACTTAATCCCAGCAAGATAAAGCTGCTCCTAGTCAACCATAAGGCAGATCAGGATTATAGGTATCCATCATGTGTTCCAATGGGGAACACATTATAGATTACTATAATGCACTTTACCTGGGGCTGATTTTGAAGACAGTTCGGAAACTTCGGCTGGTTCTAAATTCCACAGTCAAACTGCTGTCTGGCACCAGTTATAGGGACCATATAACTTCCCTGATCCTACAACTTCACTGACAGCCAGTCTGTTTCCAGGCCCAATTCAAAGTGCTGATTTTGACCTATAAAGCCCTATACAGCTTGGATCCAGGCTACTGAAAAGAGTAGTCCCGTACAATCCCCATGGTCTCTGAGATCTTCAGAGGAAGGCCTCCTCTTGGTCCCACCACCAATGCCGGCACGTTTAGTAAGGAAGCAAAAGAGGACACTTTCAGCGCCTGTGTCCAATTTACGGAACTTCCTGCCTCATGAGACTAGGTTGGCCACCTCCTTATAGTTCTTCCACTGGCATATAAAAACCTTCCATTTCAAGTTGGCCTATTAAGTTCTCAACCCTGCAGGATTTTATTTTTTAAAAGGGGATGCAGCTCATTTCGTTAGTATTTTTAAATTGTTTTAAATATAACAAGGGATAAGTGGTTAACTGTATCCCTCAAGAAAAACCCTGAAGTGCTGCTTTGGTCTCAGTATCTGTTTATATGTAAGAAAAAGTATAAATATATAAGGCTTGCTGCAACGGAAGAATACGCATAGCTTTAAAATCTGCCCTCCCCTGCCTCCCCTGTTCCCAATTCTATTCCTCCCTGGGGGAAATGGAAACAGAGCAGCCTTTCTTACATCTGCCAATTGCAACAACAGGGCAAAAGGAGAGCACGTCCCTAAAGGACAGAGACACTGCCATGTTTTTTGGCTGCTGGAATAACAAACTGTGGGTTCCCCTGACACCCTTTTTCTTTTTCTTTCCTCAAAAAAAGAAAGAAAGAAAAAAGAAAGAGAGAGTGCGAGAGAGGCAAGAACCTTGGAGAGACCTGCTACCCTTCCCGCATGTAAAATAGCTTCAAGGGTTCTAGGCCCTTTTCTATCTCTTTTTCTATCTCTCCATCCAGACCTGACAGTGTTTCCCTGGTCAACAGAGGCCCCCATGTTGGAAGGCAGCTGTTTACTGCGGCTACTGTTACCGGGGGGCGGGGGGGGGAGAAGCACGATGCATTTTATTAGGCCTTTCTGGGAGACAAGACACGTTCTGCAGGGAAGGCTCCACAAACAACCCCACCAGACACCAAGACAAATGCTACCTTCTACCTTTTTCTTATTACAACATATCCATGTTAATATGCTGCACATAATCCCCCACAGCCTCTGATATCTTCAGGAGAAGGCCTTCTCTCAGTCCCACCACCATCGCAGGGACGTTAGTAAGGACCCAAGAGAGGGCATTTTCAGTGGCTTAAATCTTCTCAATTCTTGACTATTTGCCACGTAAGTCTCTGGGGCAGTCCCGGAAGGCCCACTGTGTATGCACCTAAGTAAGCCCCCGAGTCTGCTACCTTTTCAAATCCAGAACAAGGGATGGAAGAAAAATCACTCGTCTTCCGTGGGAGTGAACTGAGAGGCACAGAGCAGCCTTACTTTGGACTGCTGCCTTGAGATCAGCCCAAAGTTCCACGTGATGCCTTTTCAAATCAGAAACCCTGGCAGGAAACCAAGTGAATTTCAAAAGGAACTGACATCCTAATTCTCCTGCCTAGAAGTGTAATATTAAGCAGCAACTCACAAAGAGAAGAGGCAGAACATTCTGAGAGGAAGGGGGACATGATGACATATTATCCCAGTAAAAGAACTGGGGGTACAGACATGTCTGAGGAAGTGAAAATATGCCCTGATGAGTAAATGGCATCTGTTTTATAACTGATTCTGGACTCGGAGAAGCCCTAAGTGAAGACGGCTGCACAGATAAAGCGGTGACTATGGTGGTGTAGCTAGGAAGCAATCATCCTTCCATATTACAGGACAAAGGATGCTTGTGTGAATACTCTTAAATCTGTCATAGAGAACTGTGCTGAGATCTCAGCTTGTCACCTCTTGACTTATCCCTTATGTCCAAGGAATTCCCGGTAACGTCCTGAATAGGTCTGATGCTGATCCACAAGCCCCACCGTATACATACCCATGCTGCGGCAGCTCTCGCCATCAGGTTCCAGCATCCATCCCTCATAGCAGGAGCACTTCACATTGTATTTGTCCTGCTCACACTTTTGACTGCACTTGAGGTGCTTGGCACAATAGCTCTGGATCTGGCAGGTCTTGTTGTCGGCACCCAGCTCCATACCCAGAGGGCAGGAGCATGCAATGCCTTCACCAGGGGCTACTGTACAGTTGTGGCTACAGCCTCCATTGTTGAGAGCACAGAGGTCTGCAATGAAGGACACCACAGAGGATCATTAGGGGAGATCTGGCCACGGCTCAAGTGTTTCCCAAGCTATCACTAATGAAGCAGGCACATGCAGAACCATGCAAACTTCAAACCCAGGAGAGAACCCCTGACTCTGAGTTTCCAGTCCCTGGCTAACAAATGCAGCCCCTTTGGATTCTGAGAGCTACTGTCAACATGAAGATCTGAACTCCCAGCATGGGCATCTTCACTGCAAGGGTTGACTCAAGTTATGTTGTTGCTGTAATCCAGGTATCTTGCACACCCAACACAGAAGCCTCTTCAGAAGCCCTGCCAATTTTACGCCACCCCATCCAGGGCCCAGTGATTCTGAGAGCAACCCGATCTGGACTGATGACAAACAGTTATCAGTGAAGCACTGGGAGACTTTTAGTGTGATAGGAATAAATATTAAAGATGTCCTGACTGAGGGAAATGGGGACACACAAAAATTATCCCCCTCTAAGGTCTGGACTGGTACTGTTAATATCAGGATGACTGATAGAAAAAGGACTGCTGGATTGCTCAGTGGTTTAGGTCAGTGGTCCCCAACCTTTCTGACACTGCAGACCGGTTTGGGGGGGGTGCATGGGCGGGGGGGACTCCCGTGTTTGCATGCATGCACAAAGGAGTGGCGCTCGCTCAAGCAAGCCCGTGGGCACTCATGCGCATGTGCGAAAGGGCAGTGCGGGTGGGCGTGCCGGGGGGAATGTGTCCAAGGGGGAGGAAGATCTGTCTCCGCGGCCCAGTCTGGCCAAGGCCATGGACTAGCACCAGGCTGCGGACCAGGGTTTGGGGACCCCTGGTTTAGGTATCAGGTTGAGAGTTCGATTCCCCACATTGCCTCCTTGAGAGGGGCTGGAGTCAGTGATTATCAGGTTGAGAGTTCGATTCCCCACAGTGCCTCCTTGAGAGGGGCTAGAGTCAGTGATCCCTTCCAGCTTTGCAGTTCTAAGATGATGATATTATCATTATCATAATTAAAAGCTGAAGTGAAGAGAATACTGACTTCTTGCCTGCAGGAAATGGCCCTATGAGCTGGTCGCCTTGGCTTCTGCAGATTACTCATCTCACTCCCTTTCAAACCAGGGAGGAACAGATCCAGGCAAACCAGTTCTCCTCCCTGCCCCACCACACTTACCGCATAGCTTCCCTTCATCAGATCCATCCCCGCAGTCATCGTTGCCATCACACAGCTTCTCAGGGGGAAGGCAAATAGATGTGTTGTTGGCACAGGTGTGTGAGGGTGGCTTGCACACCAACGATTCACAATTCTCCTCATCAGAGTTGTCCTCGCAATCATTGTCTCCATCACATACCCATGCTTTGCTGATGCAGCGGGCTAGAAAATATGTTAAAGTTAGCATTGCTAACGCAAGATGTTACCAACATGTCTACAAAACTTGTAAAATGAATTATTCCAAATCAAAGTACCCCAGGAGGGCATCAATATCATGCCTGTGACTTTGAAGTCCAGGCACTAATTGCCACCAGAGCTAGAATTGTCACAGCATCATCTCAGAGAACAATGAGAGAGAGAGAGAGAGAGAGAGCACAACCTAGTATGCTAATTTTTGTTTCAAGTAACCAATCCACTACTCTCTTTCCACTCTGCCACTAGGAAGCTTAACTTTTTCCTCCGTGGGGCAGTTTTGATGTCAGTCAGTTTGCTTTCCAGTCAGTTTCCTGCTGCCTGTCAGTTAGTACCAGTTTAACAGAGATCATGAAGAGATCTCTCTGTCATGATTTTTAACTTACTAAATGATTCTTTTTCCCACCAGTGTTACCATGAGTTCCTGTCAAGTTTCTGAGGACAGAATTTTGCCAATAAATACTGTTTTTTAACTATTGTCTAAAACTGCTCCACTTTTTGCTGTAAAAACTACCCAAAACTCAACAATATTAACACAGAACTGTTACATTCTTCTCACTCACAAGACAATTGGTGGTACTCTTTCTGAGCTCTTGCCTGACCATTTTTTTTATTTTAAAAATTCCCCATTTTCCTACAAAATTGTTCAACTTATCCAATTATATAAACTATGATGGTTGCTACTGGAAGACTATGAACCACTAAATGTTTTTTTGTGTGTGTGTCTTAACAAATGTCCAGTCCAGTTGTGCATAGTGTATCACTATGCTTTGCTTTTCAAACAGAAAGGACAGTGAAAATATTTTAGATGAATTACAGAGACCTGGAAGGGAACTTCACTCTTTACTGAAGGCAAAAAAAAAATATTGTGGAGCTTTAAAGTGCCTTCTTGTGTCAACACAAGCTAAACTAGCAACACATTTTGTATTAACTTGACCCCTAGGAAACAATTCCTAAGTTATCCTCGGCTAAAGATACTGACAACTCTAGAGATGATCACAACCACTTTGAACTGTGTTCCAGGGAAAAAAGAACAACAGTGCAGCCTTGCAAAATAGGTACAACATGATCCTTTCAGCGAATGCCAACAGCATCCTCACTTATTTATTTTGAGCCAACTACAGTTTCTAAGCAGTATTCTCTTGATGTAATTGCATGTAGAGCATATAGTGATAATCCAACTAAGGCATATGCCATGATGTCCAAGGCTGACCTCAGCAGGGACAGATGCAACTGGTGCACCAGTTTAATCTGGGGAAAAACATTCCTAGCTATGGCTAAAAACTGAACTCTGATGTCCAAAACAACTTCAGAAGCATCTTCTACATGTCAGATGGATTCTTTAAGAGAGGAAAAAAATGACTATTCCCATTCCAGAGTCCTGTTTCTTGACCAGATGCATCTCTTTTCTCATCTGGCTTAGGATTCTGTTTACTAGTCTGCATCCAGCTCCCAGCTCACTACTCCTTCAGGCACTGATTCAGAGCAGCAACAATTTCACTGATAATGGATGAGAGAAAGAGATGGAGCTGTTATGTCATCCTCATATTTGGGACAGTGCATCTCAAATTTCCAGAGAAATCCCCCCCACTCCGTCTAAGTGATAAACAGGATGTGAGACAAGACCAAACCCTGAGAAATACTATATATACCAAAGGTCAAGAGGTCAAACCAATCTCCACCAATGGCCATTGAGGAAGGACCAAGAATAGCACACAGCACCTTGTGAGCAAACTGGCTATGGTTTACATGCTTGAATTCTGATCCTGATAAGTAGAACCAACAAGGATGTATTCCTCCTGCCTTGCTCCCAAGGTGCAAAAGGGAACATCAGAATCTTTACATTAGAGCTCAGTAGGGCCTTAGAGCCAAGGAAATCTTTACACTCCCATCCCTCCAATGCAATGCACTTACCAGAATCCTTGCAACCAAATTTGACATTTGGGTCACAGACATGAGTGACACCCTCACAGTTCTTTTCATCACTGGAATCCATGCAGTCAGTATCGCCATCGCAATGCCAGCGCATGGGAATGCAGAGGGCATCCAGCCGGCACTGGAACTCATCGGTATGGCAGCCTCCAGGTGGGCGTGTGGCTGGGAATGGAACAAGAAAGAGGTTGCATGCAAAGGGCTCAGAGAGCTAGAGACCAATTCTGGACAGCATGGCGATACTGTTAAGGTGGGTGGACAAAGGAAGCTAGCATGATGCTCTGGCAAGGAGGTGATGCTCTGGCAAGCGCAAGTGGAAGCCACGTTTATCCTTGTTGCTCTCTGAAGTCTCAGCAAACTCTACAGAATGAGAAAGAGAGGTTACTTACCTGTAACTCTGGTTCTTCAAGTGGTCCTCTGTGAATTCACATTAATGGGTTAATTCTGCACATGCGCAGAGGTCTCGGAAGATTCCAGAGCTAAGAGAAAATGCTAGGACCGCCCCCATAGCCCACGTGGCCCGCTTGTCCTAGCGGTTACCTCAGTTCCTCAATTCCGCTGCGCCTCAGGACAGAGACAGACGTGACAGAAGAGGGGAGGACGGGCGGGAAGTGTGAATTCACAGAGGACCACTCGAAGAACCAGAGTTACAGGTAAGTAACCTCTCTTTCTTCTTCGTGGCCTCTGTGAATGCACACTAATGGGTGAATACCAAGCTTACCTAGAGAAAAGGTGGAGGAAAGTCACAGTAGTCCTATGGCGTTTAGACGGTTTTGTAGGGAGGCAGGGTGGCGAAGGTGATCTCTTGCCTCTCTTGGTACCAAGCACGGTACCGGGAGCTGCGGTACGGCAGTCTCAGCCGTAGGTACTGAGCGGGCACTTGATGGTACCATGTGACGGGTGGCGCTGTCACAACCCCATGTCTCAGGTATCGACGGTACTGAAGCATCAGTCTTCATCTTTTTTGTGGGTACTGGACTGCTGTGACGGTATTTACGCTTCTTACAAGCCACGGTACAGTAATTGTCGTCCGACGAAGAGGAGGCAGACGATGAGTCGGAATCATCTGAAGATCCTAAGGAAGATGAGCCAAAGCCAAAAAATAAGCGGGGATCGCACAGCAACTTCATCTCCTTCCTCCACCGACGGTATTGTTTACATTGATAAGCTTTAGAAGCTGTCAGGCTCTTAGAATGCTTGGTACCGTGAGCACAGGACCGTGAGCCTTTGGAGACCTTCAGCCTCGGTTTATCCGAAGGCTGGGAATCTCCTGGGACCGGCACTTCCAGATGCTTCATTTTAGCTGTCTTTTTCTTGATCGTGGGGGGATCTGGAAGATGGTGAGACCCCGAGCGCGAGGATGGTATGTCGGGCTGTGACATAGGGCTTGCCGGTGCCGAAGAAATTAAAGACTGTACATCCGGTTCTATCTCCGTTTGAGGTATAGGGGTGGCGAGCAACGGGAAGGATGGCTCCTCCTGAACCGGAGTAGCCACATTAATAATTTCAGCTGAGCCAGGCTCAGAACAGGAAGCCGGCTTCTTGTGCAAAGGCAACTTGGCTTTTGGTTGTTTCACGGCTGAGGGTTTCACTTTAACTTTAGAAGCAGTTGAGGCTTTGGGCTTGGATGTTTTAGTCTGACGGGAAGGAGATGCCCTAGGTGAAGCCGAAGATTTTAAAGGAGGTGTGGCAGACTCCATTTCTGGTGGCTCAAGAGACTTTTGCCAGAGAGCCATCCTCAAGCACTGTTCTCTAAGTTTGAGTGCTTGCTTGGTGAAAGTTTTACAGTGTACGCAAGAGTGGGGCTGATGAGATTCGCCCAAACAGATTAAGCACAGATTCTGTCAGTCTGTTGTTGGAAACTTCTTGCGACACGAAACACAGCTCTTAAAAGAGACTTTAGGGGCCATAAACCAGTGGGGAGGGAAGGGGAAAAACAAACAAATAACTGTGACTTGCTCTCTTGTAGGTGTCAAACGACACAGAAATTCCAATGTCCTAGCTAGAGAGCTCCGACGAGAGACCTCTCAATGCAGCGGAAAAATTGGAACGGAGGTAAACGCTAGGACGAACGGGCTACTGGGGCAGTCCTAGTGTTTTCGCTTAGCTCTGGAATCTTCTGAGAGCTCTGTGCATGGGCAGAATTAAGCCATCAGTGTGCATTCACAGAGGCCACAAAGAAGAAAAGGAAGACACTCAAAACACTGGCTGCCTGCATCCATAAGAACCTATATATGCTTCCAGAGCAGCATCAGAGAACCTACTCACTTGTTTACCATTAGTATCTGTTTGTTAGGTGGCAGAGACTGCAATTTCAGTGCAGCTCTCTACTTTATCGAATAACCGAAAACATATGTACATTTGTTTCTTTGTCTGTCTGTCTCATGTATAGGTCACCTTTCTCCTAATGAGTGGACTCAAGATGGCTCACAGTATTAAAGAAATAACATTTAAAACACAAAACATGTGCTGTCACCCTCCCCTCTTTAGTTGCAGTACCTCATGAGCATCTGAAACTGTACCTGTTTTGAATGGTTTTTAAAAGATGAGGCTTATTGGTCAAGATTCACTAAACTATTACTGAATTTTTCTGATTGTATGTAGCTTAGGTGGATGCAGTCAAGAAAGATGGCTTATATTTATTTCAGTTCAATAATACTTTAAAGGCAAAGGTGAGGGGGGTGGGAATGTAGCACAATTTTCTAAACAAAATTGACAGAAAGTTCAGCTCTGCTGTATTGAGTCCTATCTGCAAGAAGCAAAGTGTTCAGAGCACAGAGAAACTGATCATAAAAGGGTCCAGTCCAGGAAAGCAATGTTTTTGCTGTTTTACACCAATTTTGGAGTATAGGTCCTATCATTCTTTAGGCCACATGGGCTGGGCCTTCTGTGCACCAAAATATCTGGAAGGCCAAATCTTCTCCATCCTTATTTTCACAGTTTCTGACATTTACCAGTCAGCTTCTGCCCATGGCTTCCTGCTCTTCAAACAATCCATGCTACCACCCACTTATTTTTCACTTTCCTCAAACACTAGTTAAACCAGGTAGATGTTGAACTCTGAAAGAAAAATGTGCACACCACAAAAGCCTCAAATATTGTATTCAAGGGGAAAGAGGGAAATAGGGAAAAGGCATAAATATACATACAAATCAACAGGTGTCAGGAAGTCATGTTGATTTGGGAGGGAGAAATAAAGAATTCCCTGTGCAGAATATTTGTTTTTTAAAAAGTGCTAATGGAAAGAAGAATGGGAATGTCGCATAGCCTTTATCAGCCTCTCACCTTGGTTGGTACAGTTGGCATGAGTCTCATCACTGTAGTCCCCACAGTCACTGTCGCCATCACAGGTCCAATGCGCAGGGATACAGTGTCCACTGTTGCATTTGAACTGGTTGCTAGAGCAGGAATGGCTGCAACCGGCTTCATCACTGTTGTCTCCGCAGTCATTGTCTGCAGGCAGGAAGAAAAGAAGGTGGTCAGAGACAGCTAGAGTCTAAGCCAGAGCAGATGCTAGACTGCTCTCCCCCCCCCAGCCACCTTTCCTTCCAACCCACTCCAGAGTTATATGCAGATTCCTCCAGCTAGTAGAATGCCACTGGATCTTTCAACAAAGGACCAGCCATTGAATGGAAGGGCTCAGGCCTGCATTCCTGCCCCAGGAGGTTTGCTTGACTGCACCCGCCTACTCCATGCATGCTCTAGCCAGACATGCTCCACCACCACCCCCCACCATCATGAGAGTTCTAGCAACTAAAAAGGCAATAATAAGTATTTTAACAATAAGAATAAGAATGAAAATGAAAACACAGAAACTGCATAGATCACCTCATGCACCATGGGGGAAAGAGGAGTGGGTGAAGTGAGAGGGCAAATATCACACCAGTGACCCTATCAGTGGCATTTGTGCAGTTCTTGGTCCCCAAATGGTTTGTAGATGTGTGAGTAAATGAACATGTACATCCATGCATGTGTGTGTGTGTATGTGTGCGTGCATGCATGTGTATTCATGTGTGCAGTTCTGACCACTTCTAATTCAGGATGTTGGAGCTGCTTCTGAAGTCTGCGAAGACTCCTCAGCTTTTTCATAAGACCAGCCTTTCCTCAGTGAGTTTAGCTTCAAACTGCTGAATCAAGCTACTGCTAAAGTAGTACCTTGGTTTGCGAAATAGATCTGTTCTACGCGACGTTATGTAGTACGGAAAATTCGCAAACCGGAATGCCAATTGTGCTATGAAAGGAGCAGCGGTATAGGCGCAATGCCCCCTGAGAAAACCCTTTCGTAGTGCAAAAGAAAGAAAGAAAGAAAAAAGAAAGGAAGGAAGGAAGGAAGGAAGGAAAGAGAACAACGTAAATCAGGGCTTTATTTCTTATGGACTTTGGTTCGTAAATTGGAAATTACGTAAACTGAGGCGTTCACAAACCGAGGTACTACTGTATTTAATAATAAATATGTGCCATCAAATCAATTCACATTTATGGTGAGCTGTTCCAGAGTTTTCTAAGAACAGAGTACTCTGAAGTGGTGTTTCTGGGGTGCTCTGAGGCTGTGCAGATTGCCCCAGGTTACACAGGTGGGCTCTTGTGGGGCATAAAGTGGAGAATCAAACTCTAATCTCTAGCTCCACAGCTTGACATCTAACTCTCTGAGCTCTTGAGCCAGCTTCCTATTGCTTACACCTTTTGCATCATTGGATTTTCTTCTCCCGGTAGCAAAACTAGTGACAAATAAATCAGTTCCTACAGCTAAAGCCTCCTTTGGCTTTGAACCTCTCAATTACTGCTCCAGCTTTCCTCCCCCCCAAAGGCTTACCCTCCAAATGCTGGAGCAGGTGATGGGAGACATACAGTCATGATCATCCTCCCTCTTCCAGTGATGCTTGTCAGCAGGACTGACCTGATGCATGCATTGCCATTTATACTGACACGATGAGGGCAGGAGCATGTCCTGCTATTTCCCCCTCGCCCAAGCAACTTTATTTTGCCACCATCTACTTTTCTAGACTACATTTCACAGCTACGCTACTACCCTTCCCCAGTGAAATTCTATACATCATTATGTAAAAGAGTCCCCTGAGTTTTATGGGCTTCATTCCAAGCCTCAGCTTTCAAGCTCTCTTGTTTTGAAAGATGTACTTCAAAAGAATGGGGGGGGCAGTTTATGATGAAAATTTTTGAAAGGCCAAAAAGGTGGCTGAATATTTTTCTACAGGGCTTCACGGGATCTCTCCCTATTATTTGCTATGAATGACAAGGCTGCAACAAGAAGCAACCCTGGTTCTTTCTCCCCTTCTAATAAAGCATCTCAAGTTTTGGAAACAGAAAGTCCATGGTCCATGACAGGACTGGCCCTACCATTAGACAGAGCGTGGCATCTCACATGGCAGATGCTGGAGGGCTGCAGCCACACACTCTTTCCTTCCGAACCCTTTAACTTTCTCCTCTCTTGGAAGACCCAGCAGTGCTTGCGGGCACCCCCAAAATAGAAAATGCTGACCCGTCACTGAAGTTGATATTCAACAAGGAGTCTGGTCAGCTTCTCCACATGGAACGGGGAATGTGTGCCCTTCTGCTCATCGCTTGAGGTAACACAATATTGTGGGCGATCCCTAGCTCCTGATTCCCAAACGGCACTGAACCATTGTTGAATTTTGACACAAAACTAATGAAGATAAAGATAAAGGTTCCCCTTGACATTTAGTCCAGTCGTGTCTCACTCTAGGGCGCAGTGCTCATCGCTGTATCCAAGCCATAGAGCCAGTGTTTTATCCGTAGATAGTTTCTGTGGTGACGTGGTCAGTGCAACTAGACACGGAATGCTGTTACCTTCCCACCAAGGTGATACCTATTTATCTACTTGCATTTCTACATGCTTTTGAACTGCTAGGTTGGCAGGAGCTGGGACAAGTGACGGGAGCTCACTCCGTTGTGTGGATTCGATCTAAGGACTGCTGGTCTTCTGACCTCGCAGCACAGAGGCTTCTGCGGTTTAACCCACAGCATCACCACACCCCTAAATTAATGAAAGGAGTGCCCAAATGGTTTCACCTCTATAAAACTGCAACCCTAGGTACACTTGATACTCAAAGAAAGCACAGTTAGGATTGAACTGTGAATCATAGTGAGAGAAGCTGTCCCTATCTGAGAGAGGCAGCCTACCCCACATGAGACACTGCTTATCCCTACCTCTCTAGTGCCCGACCTTAGGAAGCTATGGAGGCTGTTCTATTCACACAGTGGCATAGAAAGGAGTGTCCCTGAACAAAGTGGGACTTTCTTCCAAGTTCAAGGCACACAGGATTGAGCTGCACAACTGAATCAGAAACCACCACCCTTAAGTCACGGAAACTTTTGTAACCTAAGCTACAGGAAGAGCAATGGCGCACATAAGGAGCACAGGACCTGACGACTCCAGTTCCCTCCAAACAGATCTGAACGCTAGCAGCCAACGCAAAAAGCAGCCACCCTTCCCCCATACTGCTTCTCTCAAATTCAGAAAGGGGTACCCCTGATGACATTTATCAGAGTCAAGGAAAACCAAAGCAAAGAATTGTTCAGTTGTGTTTCAAGTCATCCTGCAGACAATGGAATTGTGAAGACAAGGGACGATTCTTTTAGAGAACAGAAACGGGTTGGGGTCGGGGACAGGGATTGAGGTGCATGTTGATCTATGCACTAACCGGTAGCTTTTGGACAATTCTTTTCGTCAGAGCCATCCCCACAATCTTTTTCTGAAACACAAACCAACCAGAGAAGACAGGAGAGTGGGCACAGTGAACACCACGCGCACACACACACAACTACAAAAGGTCTACATGGAAAAGGAAAAATAAAACACAAAAGCAGAGGCAAACAGGCATGCTAAGGATACAGTATGGAGGATGTAAGGGCATGGAGAAAGCACCAACAGAATTGCATGGTGAGTGGGAATTACACGCAGTGAACAAGAGTTCCTGCCCCACATCACCCAAACTTTAAAGCAAAGTGAGGATGGCATCCTGGAGGAAGGGGGAGAATGGGAGTCTTCCTTGAATTTTTAAGCTTATATTTAAATAGCAAATCTGAAGCCATTACAGCTAAGAATCAGAGTCAATAAGCCTGTGTATGATTAATTCTGAGCTTCATAGAGAACAGTCACTCCTAGTTCAGTAATATGTACATCAGACTTTACTAGTCTGAACAAAGCCTTTGGTACAAGTACTCTGCACTCGCCACACACACAAACACAGCGGGGAGTGGAAGAACCACTGCTTCATCTGTTTTTCCTTCCCAAATTTCTGGTTTGCTGTTACATATAAACTAAGAATTGTGGTTGGAAATAAATCCTGCTTTGTTAAAATAATGGTACTATAATGCAAGGGTTTGCTAAATCACAGTTTGGCATGAATGTGAGAAGCAAGCAGGGTAGCCATTTCACTTACTGAATGGTAAGGAGAAACATGGAAAGACTGTTCCATTCTACAGTTTCACAGGGACTGAAACTGTAGCCTTCCTTTCAGTGCTTGGATCAACTAATGTAAAGGTGAGCACCTTCTAGAGATCTGCAGGAAAAATGTGTACCCTAGTTGCACCATGTTGCTGTGCCACCAAACTTGCTCCCCAAATTCAGCAACATGGCACTCAAAAAACAGTGTGTGTCCCTCTGAAGTGCTTTTTAGATTCTGGTATATATACTGCTGCTCAGGTTCTAAGCTTGAAACAAAACTGATTGGCTACATTTTTGAAAGAAAAAGCACTGGGTACAAAGTCTATCCTATCTCTACCTACAACATCTTTTCTTTGTCTTCAGAAGCTTTGGGGAAGAGTGAATTTTCAAAAATCTACAATGCAGAGTACATTAAGTCTATAATATAATGAATGAGCACCAGAGGCCCAAAGGTGAACCTGATACACAGCCCACTCCTACTTAAACCTTGACTGGCTTACATTGGCAACGCTGACCCTGGCAGAAAGTCAGGATGGTAAGACCAAGGAGATGTCACCCCAAAGGGAAGACCCAACATCCATGTTGCCTTACCCAAACCTTGACCTGAGGAAGCATAGAAAAAAATCATAGCCTTCCAGATACTGGCAACAAGGTAAGCTCTCCCCCATCCTGTATACACGGGATGAACAAGCAGCAGGAGAAAGCCAAGAGGATGGCACCATGCAGAGATGGCAGAAGTAGGCAAAGAAGTCCAAGCTGACCATTCCCAAGTATGCTGTCCCTCCCCATCACATCAAACCTCCCCTTGCCTCTGACCTTATCAGTCCAACCAAGCCAGCTGGATACCACTCAGAAATGTGACCCTTACCATTGTCGCATCTCCAGTTTATGTTGATGCACCGGCCATTGTGGCAAGTGAACTGGGTGAGAGGAAAACAAGTTGGGTAGGCTGCAGAGAGAAAACAAGGACAGCACTGTCAGGGTTTAGCTGCCAAAAACAGGACGCTATGTTATCCGGCAACTACTTTAAGGCTCGTTTGAGCAACCTTTTTGGCCCTTAAGAGCCGTTTCTGACAGCAGGCAGCAAAAGACTGGAGAGTGTTGCATGATGACAAGGCAAGCTATACTATAAGGAGAGCTGGTGGTAGGCTACACTTTCCACCCATTCCAGTCTCTCAGGTCTGGGTAGCTTAGCTGGTACCAATCCTGGTACATGTAGCCAGGATTGTCAAAATAAACACAAATCCAACAAAGAAGCTCTGAATGTAGTACACATGGGCATATCCCATAACTCACCACATGAGGCTGACTCATCAGAACGGTCCCCACAATCATCATCCAAGTCACAGGTCCAGGAGAGAGGTATACAACGGCCGCTGGCACAGGAGAACTGGTTGGCCGGGCAGGTACGAGCTGCGTGAACAGCGGTCAACAATAGGAATAATTTTAGCCACAGAACTGGCCCCTCTCCTGTGTCATCTCAATAATAGAATTAAGTAAACATTGGTATGAAAAACTGACAGATGATTATAGTAAACGGGAAAGTTGTCATTGGTGGAAGAAAGTGGCCAACAAGGGCTATGTCGGCTGAAGAAATGAACAGCATCCCTACCACTGTCCAGCAGAGAGCTGGAGGTCTAACGACAGGGTCGAAAATCAAACTAGAAGTTTTCTGAATGCTTCAGACACAGACCAGAAATGTTAAAAAGTATGGAATACTTCAAACAATTCTCTATAGGCAGGACTGGCCCTACTATTTGGCGAATGCCTCAGGTGACAGGCACTGAGGGCAGCAATTGACTCCCTGCAGCTATTCCTCACAAGACCCTGAGCAAATCTCTTCCTTTGTAGGATAAAGCTATGCATTCCATACAGTCTGTCTTGCATTTCTTAAATTAGTTTGCTGCCCTCAAGGGTGATGGAGTAGGACCTCATCTCATTGCCATAGCGGTAAGAGCATTCAATTCCCAGTCCAGTTGACTTCTCTACATGGAACAGAGAAGCAACACTATCTCAACCTTCACCTCAGGCAGCAAAACATCTTGCCCTACTTCTGTCTACCAGCCCACACAACATTCAAGCAAGTATGTCACAAGGCTGCTGTGAAGACAGGAGTCCCTTGGAAGGGCAAGGTCCTTGGCAGGATAATCATATGATTGGTGAACAGAGTATAAGAGACCTTCACCTGAGCAGGTAGAATTAGACTCATCTTCGTTGTTCCCACAGTCATTGTCCCCATCACACAGCCAACGGTTGGGGATGCAGCGGTTGTTCTCACACTTGAAACGGTCCGAAGGGCAAGTGTGCTGATCTGAAGAAAGGCAGTGAGAGGGAGGTATCTTAAGACCTTGCAGTCCAGACTGTTCTCTCCCCTCCATGCATCCCAATAATCTGAAATCCCTCCAAGGACTGCTCATCTCCACGGTTAAAAGTCAGAGGCAGTGCAGATTCTATGCCACAGTAGCGAAGTGAAGCAAACCCCAAGAGCCCAACTTCTGTGACCTATAAGTACTTGCCCATCTTCCCCAACAGTTTCATGGGAAGCTGCCTTAAACATACTCAGACTATTAGTGCACAAAACTCATGTCTGCTTGCTGAGCCTTGGCTGAGTTTCTCTCACAAAGACAGACTGCTTCCTACCATCTATCACTTTATCCTTTTTTAGCTGGAAAAGCCAGGGCATGAACCTGAAACCTTCTGTGGGCAATGTATGGGTGAGCTGCCTTGGAGTCATGCTCTCTTGGCCATTGCGTTTTAGTTTTCTGAATATTTTACATACTCCCCGTTCTCCAAGCAGATTAATGGAAAAGGAGTGAAGAAATACTTCTGAACTTTCTTGTGCAACCCAAAGGTTTAGTAAATTGTTTTTTTTATGAGGGCTTCATTTCTCAAGATGACATCAAGAAAAAGATTATATGCCTGTGTAGCAACCTCATGTACTTAATACATGAAGCCCTACAAAAGGAAAAACATGGAATCTTAGGCAAGGACCTTGATTACACCTCCAGTTCCCACTCATTTTTCTCTTCCTGTAGATACAGAGCTAAATATAGAATTTAAAAAATTAATATACTCTTGAAGAGCATTCTGCCCCAGTATTCCCTCTAATTATCAGCCCTGCAGGAATTCTAATTCTCAGGTGTGGGAGCCTTGCCCTGTGCATGCACGAAGGTGCAGGATTTCATTCAAACCCCGAAACTAAACAGCATCAACACCAGATGCCGTTGTGCATCCCCGACTGAGCTCTATGCACACGTGCACATGTGCAGCTTAGAGGGAATGTTGCTGCCCCCATATCTCAACTCCTACCCTCATCTTCACTCCCATATTCCTCTATCACCTGTTTTGGATTCACCAACATTACGAGATCCAAGTTGGGGCATCTCCAAACTGTGCCCTGAGTTTAAGCATACCCATAATGTCTTGTCTACCCTACAAGAGAGTGGGACTGCTCAGGAGAGAGGGTCTTGAGCATAATGATCACAGAACTACAGAGCTGGAAGGGACCCTATGGATCATCAAGTCCAGGAGGTACAGTGGGGAATCAAACTTCCAACTGCGGGGCTCTACAGCCAGATACTTAAACCAGTGAGCTATCCAGCAGTCCCATGTTTCTCAAACAAATACGCACGGCAGAGCTCTGGTGCCTCATCACTGTTGTCTAGGCAGTCATTGTCACCATCACATTTCCAGCGTTCCTGTATACAGCGGTTGTTCTTGCAAGCAAACTCCCCAGGCTGGCACTGTGGAGGTGGGATGTAAGATGGGTTGGCTGTCCAAGGAAAAGAAAAAAGAAAAATAACAGCAGTGGGTAAGGGTGATTTTAAATGATTAATTGAAAACAAGTGATGGGGACATTTTAAAATAAAGTCTTTAGACTGAGGATGCTCTGGGTAAGGGTGATTTTAAATGATTAACTGAAAACAAAGTCTTCAGTTAAAATAAAGTCTTTAGACTGAGGATGCTGAAGTTAGGAACAGAGAAAAATAGAAAGCTGATTTTACTAGAAAATATCATAGATCCACTTAGCCCAGTATTTTTGAAACCAACAACCAGTGGCTCACCAAGGTTCTGAGCAGGTCTTTTTCTCAATCCTATCTGGGGACACAGGAACCTAAACCTGGGAATTCTGCATGCAAAGCAGATGCTCTTTTCCAGAACGATAAGCCCTCCTCTCTTCCTGAAAAAAATCCTGTATTCCAGCTTTCTACAGTTCTACAAAACACAGGAAAGGAGCTGTACAAAGAATCAAATGTCACATGATCCAATACATGCCATTAAGTCATGGAACAACTGAAAAAACAGTAAAAACAAATTTGGGAGTATCCATACCAAGACATGGTATGTCAGGAGGTAAGCTTTAACCTTTTGCTCTTACACAGATGATTCTCTCCTTCCCCTCTTCTCTCTCTCTCTCTCTCTCTTGCACACACACACACACTTGCACACATATTTACCACATAGCTCCTATTTGCAATGGAATGGGAGAGTCTACGGTTCCTCCTGACACAAACAGCAGCTGCCAGTGGCCATTCATACAGATTAAGTGAAGACCAGGAGCTATTTGGTTTAAAAACATACATATTCAATTATTAATTGTGTGAATAATGTATAAAACAGATTCTGCATAAAGGAGATAAAAGAATTTCCCAGTGCAAAGAAAAGAATGAAGGGGATGAGGTAGTGGTGGTAGAAAACTATGGTTAGCTATGAACAGTGTTTCTTGAACAGAAATTAAACAAACAGCAGGATTTCTTTGAAAATCAGGTACCCTTAAATCTGTAACTTCAAGAAGCAGTTAAGGAATTGTGGAAGGCTAATCAGTTCTCAGCTGCCTCACAACTTGCTCACAACCATCTGGCAATAAACAATTTCAAAGGACAAAAGAATAGCTTGCCTTGGATACTTGATTTTTCTGACCCAGTTTAGAGGTTGGAAGCTCTTACCACAGCAGCTGTTGAAAAACCATCAGTTTTCTCAGTTCCTACCCAGAGATAGCATCTTGTTTTTGCTTCCATATTGTTTTGAAAGCAGAAAACAGACCATTGCAAATAGGGTTGCCAACTCTTTGAGCCTGTCTTTGCTGCTGTGTCTGAACACCAGCCTGGTATGTCTAAATTAAAAGCTGTTGTTATTGACATTTGCTGATATTTGTTGTTACATGCCATCAAGTCTCTGACTTATGATGATCAAATGAATGAGAGATTTCCAGAATGTCTTGTTGCTAGCAGCCCTGCTCAGCTCTGGTAAACTGAAGTCAGTGGCTTGCTTTACGGTGTCAATCCATCTCATATTTGATCTTCCTTATTTCCTCCTGCCTTCCACTTTTCCCAGCATTATTGTTTCTTCCAGAAAATCTTTGCTTTCTCATAATGTGCCCAAAGTAGGACGTCTTCCAGAAAATCTTTGCTTTCTCATGATGTGCCCAAAATAGGACAGCCTCAGTTTCATCATTTTTGCCTCCAGAGATTGTTCAGGTTTCATTTGCTTTAGGACTGTTACTGCCTAGCTTTCACACCCATACATGGGAGGTTTCATTTGCTTTAGGACTGTCACTGCCTAGCTTTCACACCCATACATGGTGATCAGAAATACGCAAGTGTGGATGGTCTTAGTCTTTGTCTCCAGTGACATCCTTATGCTTGATTATCTTTCCTAATTCCTGTATTATTGCCCTTCTGAAGTGTTCCGATTTTTTGGCTGTAGTCTCCATTTGGATTTATGATAATTCCTGTATTGTTGCCCTTCTGAAGTGTTCTGATTTCTTGGCTGTAGTCTCCATTTGGATTAATGATTGAACCAAGGTATACAAGATCTCTAACTGTTTCAATTTCTTCATTGTCAACATTAAAGTTGTGTAGTTCTTCTATAGTCACGAATTTTGTCTATGACATTTCCCCCCACTAATTTCCACTCTTCCTTCATCTGAATATACTTCAGCTTTCCATATATGTTCCGCATACAGATTGAACACATAAGGGGATAAAATGCACGCTTTTTGGACACCTTTGCCTACAGTATAGGAAACAATTCTGTCTCTCTACATTTGTTCTCATGGTAGCTAGGGGATAAAATGCACGCTTGTTGGACACCTTTGCCTACAGTATACGAAACAATCCTGTCTCTCTACATTTGTTCTCATGGTAGCTTCTTGTCCACTATATAGATTACACATTCAGACAATCAAGTGCTGAGACACACCCATTTATTCAAACATTTTTTAATTTTCCATGGTCCACACAGTCAGAGACTTTGCTGTAGTCTATAAAAGCATAGACTGATCTTCTTATGATTTTTTTCTATGCTCCAGTAGCCAGCAAATACTTGCAATATGATCTCAAGTGCCTTTTCTTTTGGAATCCTGAACAGCAGACATTTCTTGCTCCATATAAAGTAAAAGCCTTTGTTGCAACATCTTGAGCATCACTTTGCTTTCAGTGGTCCTATAATTACTACACTCCTTACTACCAGCTTTATTGGGGACTGGAATGTATATTGAATATTGCTAGTTGGTGGGCCATTGTTTTGTTTTCTATATTTTTTGGCATATTCTTATTAAGATTTTAACAGTTTCCGTTTCAGTGGCTTGAAATAATTCTGTCAATACTCCATCTACCCTGGTAACTTATTTCTTCCAAATGATTTCAGAATAGCTTTCATGTGACTTTCTAGAATGGCAAGTTCTTTTTAACAGTTGCTGAAAAGAGGTTCTGATTCTATTTCTGTCACCTTTTACTTTTGCTTCTTGTCTATATTTTAGAATTTTAAGTATTTCTTCCATAATCCATCTAGGTTTTCCTTTTCTTTTTACTACAGGATTTAAAAAAAATCTTCCTTAATTAATATCTCTGGTATCAATCCACAGTTCTTCTGAGTTCAGTAATGCAAATCTGTTCCTTATGTGGACTTTAAATTAAGCAGGAATGCTGTTTAAATTATATTTTGGCACTACTATTATTTTAGTGTTCTTTTTCAGCTTTACTCGAATGTTGGATATTAGCAATTCATGATCAGTACCACAATCTACTCCTGGTCTTGTTCTGGCAGAGAGAACACAGCTTCTTCACCTCCTCCTTCCAATAACATAGTCTATTTTATTTCTATACTGACCATCTGATTATGTCTATGTCTACAACCGTCTGTTCATCTGTTTGAGGCATATATTCGCAGTAAACAGAATGTTGGTTTTGCAGACCTCTGAATCATTCTCATTCTTAATTCCTGTTCCCTCGGCCAATTTTTTTCCAACAACATTTGGTTCTATTTCGTTCCTTACTTTTGCTTTCCAGGCTAAACTAAATAACATTTGCTTTTCTCAGGATGGACGTCTAGAGAGATGATAAAAGCACACTGTGTGATCAGGCTGCAGTTGAAGGCTTCATAGCAGAGCCAGTAAAAAGGGGACAACCTGACATTCAAATTCTAACTAAGAAAAATCCTCCCATTTTACAAAGCAAGAAACTCACAAGGCACCAGGAAAAAGCCATCTACCCTGGGTCCAGCCCAACAAAAGAAGATGGAAAGATCCACAGAGCCCAGTATCCAGTTTCTGGCAACAGTCAATAGACCATGCTTTAGATAGAAGTGAAAAATAATATGACGACTACAAGAATATTAGGCTAGATTTAACAAGTCCTCATGCACAACTGGGAGATCATCTATGTTGGTGTTGTTGGTGAACTGGGCACTGCCATGCCAGAATGGGTAAACATATGGGTGAGCAAGAAAGACATGTGCCTATGGGTTGCACACAGCATTGTCTACTAAAAGCAAATTCACTCATGCTTGTTCATCACTGAATTTATAATACTTGACAACACACAAATGGATTAACATACAAATGGATTTCATTGAAAAGCCATCGTCTCCAATGTGATGTAACAAAATACACAGCAGTTCTATCTGTGTTGCTTGACCTGTGGTGACCCATTCACACATGCAAGTTAATCACTTGATGCTGTAGCAGTGATGAATATGCTCATGGAGTCAAGAGTAGACAAAGAGAAGGGTAGCTGAAACAAATCAGTCACAGGCTATAAGATTTCCCCTGCTAATGCTGAAGGCATCATAGAGATATAAAGAAGCAATCAATCTAAGAGATCCAACACTTTCTCAGTTTCCTTCATCTCAATATTCTTGTTTAAATAAGTGAATATACCACATCTGACTCTCCCCTCATCACTTGCTATTTCCCACACTCTTTAACCAGAGCCCCCAGGAAATTAAATTGAGGACTGATATGCAAAGCATATGTTCTGCCACCAACCTATGTAAACCTTCCCTACAAGAGGTAATAGACACAGGCTCTGTCTGTCTGTCTGTTCTGGTAAATATAAAAGTGATTCCTACTAGAATTATTGCATCCTCTGGCCTCACCAGTGAGAGACTGAGAATGTTTGGTATGATTGCATTACCAGGATAAGCTAAAGACAGTAGTCCATGCAGACAACATCTGACACTCCAGGAGTAAAAGTCCTGAAGTATCTGCACTGACTAATTACAAGCTTGTCTCTTGTTTATTAATTATTATTTATTCTAAATATTTTTATCCTGCCTTTCTCCTTAGAAAAAAGAACCCAAGGTGGCTTATTTCATTAAAAAACAATATAAAAGCTAACAATAAAAAATAACCCAAGGTGGCTTATATCATTAAAAAACAATATAAAAGCTAACAACAGTGAGTATATATAAATACTAAAAACAAACACCATACAAAAAAACATAAGCAAAACAAAAACACATTCAAAGTAGTAAGGTACAACAATTCATTTTAAAAAATCCCACTCAGGCAGCCAGTCACTCAGGGAAAGCTTGCCTGAAGAAAAAGGTCTTTGCCTGCTTGCAGAAGGACAGCAAAGAGGGGGCCAGCCTGAACTCCTGTGGGGGGAGGGGGAGTTCCAGAGCCTGGGAGCAGCAACAGAGAAGGCCCTCTCCTGTGTCCCCATCAAACGTGCCTGTGAATGTGGTGGAACTGAGAGAAAGGAAAGGCCTCCCCTGATGATCTTAATACCCAAGCAGGTTCATAATGGGAGGCAGGGTCTTTGAGATACCTCGGACCCAAGCTGTTTAGGGCTTTATAGGTTAGAAAGAGCACTTTGAATTGTGCACGGAAACAGATTGGCACCCAGTGGAGCTGTTGTAACAGGGGAGGGAGGGGGTATGTGATCCCTGTAACCAGCCCCAGTCAGCAATCTTGCTGCTGTGTGTTCGACCTGCTGAAGTTTCCTGATACTTTCCACAGGTAGCCCCTTATAGAGCGCATTACAGTAACCCAGCCAGAATGTAATTAAGGCTGTGGCCAGATCAAACCTCTCAAGAAATGGTTGCAGCTGGTGCACCAGTTTTAATTGTGCAAATGCACTTCTGTCCACCACTGAGACCTGGGTATCTAGGCTCAGAGATGAATCAAGGAGTACCCTCGAACTGTGCAGTTGTGTTTTCAGAATGAGCATAATCCCATCCAGCAGAGAGTCGGCATCCTTATTCCTGATCTGCCTTTCGAGTGACAAGGAACACCTCTGTCTTGTCTGCATTACGTTTCAGTTCATTTACCCTCATTCAGTCCATTACTGACACCAGGCATTGATTTAGAGCCAAAAAAGTTTCCTCAGATTTAGGGGCACGGTGAGGTAGAGTTCGGTGTCATCAGCGTATTGGTGATGCCAAACCCCAAAACTCTGGACATTCTCTTCCAGTTGTTTAATGTAGATGTTAAATAACATAGGAGATAAAAGAGAGCCCTGAGGGACCCCACAGATCAGTGACCAGGGTGTTGAACAGGAGTATCCCAACACCACCTTCTGGGTTCTCCCCTCCAGGAAGGACTGGAGCCACCATAAAACAACACCCCCCAAGTCCTATCCCAGAGAGACGGATCAGGAGGATACTATGGTCAATAGTATCAAAAGCCACTGAGAAGTCCAGCAGAACCAGTATGAATACACCTCTTATCCAGTTCCCAGCACAGGTCATCCACCAAGGCAACCAAAGCTCTCTCTGTCCCAAAACCAGGCCTGAAGCCCAATTGAAATGGATCTAGATTGTCTCATCCAGGTACCTTTGGAGCTGAGAGCCCATAACCCACACTAGCACATTCCTCAATAATGGAATATTAGATACTGGTTGGTAATTGTTCAGTGTTGTGGGGTCCAAGGAGGATCTTTCTATTGCCTTCTTTAAGCACAATGGGATCCTGCCCTGTTGCAAGGATGCATTTACCTACTCACTCAACTGGTCCTTTTCCGGCAGCTTTTATGAACGAGGAAAGACAAGGATCCAGCAGATATACGATAGCCTTCAGCTGCCCAAGGATCCTGACCAGCATTCCCTCTATTTTTTCAGTCCTGCTGGATGGGGCTCTGCCCCTTGTGCATGGGACACCCTCCCCCGGGGTTCCCTCATGAACCAAAGGGCTGAAAACAATCATTGTGGGCACATGGAGGAGGAGGAGCCTTGCACAGAGGGGAGTGGAGGTGTGGTGCACAGAGGGAACCATGGTCCTGCCCACATCATCAGGCTGCAGAAAGTGAAACTAATCCATTAACACAGGGCAAGCAGGGGCCAAGGTTATATTCAGAGGACCTGAATCAACTACAGATCCAGGTCAGAGCAGATCTGAGCAATTTTGCCTGCGAAGTGTTGGCCCTGCCGAAAGGTGTTAAGCAAGAACGTTTTTAAAGCTTTGCCCTGCCGAAAGGTGCTAAGCAAGAACGTTTTTAAAGCTTTTTTTAAATAAAGACACTACATATTGTTAGCTATCCCAGACATCCTGAGGTTGTTTCTCCTTGTATCCTTCAGTTTTTATTGGATGTGCCAGTTCCCTACAATTTGTCTGCAAAGTGTTGTGCAAATTCTTCAGGGCATGCAACAGTGTGATCTGTATTATCTTCCTGGGGGCCAGCATGTAATAGGCCCATGACCACTTGAAAAAACTCTGCTGGATGACTCTGCAGGCACAATGGTGGCAGAGAAGAATGCCTTCTTCACCACGTCCACTGCCATGGAATAGGCCTTCCAATGGTCCTTAGCCTGCGTTTGGCCAAATTCATTCTGAGCTTTCCTCCGTCATCCCACTCATTTTATCATCACCAGCCCCCCAGTAAACCCAGGAGGCCAGTTGGGCTCTACTTTGTGAGAGGAGACTTTAGAAGCAATCATGTCAATGGCTTTTGCCATTTCCCCATTCCAGAGATCAACCAGGGATTCAACAGAATCACCTGCCATTGAGACAGGGAACTCTCCCAAAGCCATCAAGATATAATTTGGATCCATCACCCTCTGGGGTAGACTATCTTAATCTGACCTCCACTCCTGCAAATGCTCTGAGTTCCAGTGAGACCAAATTCCACCAGATAATGGGCTGCCCAAGGCCATGGAACTACAGAGAGTTCCTCCACACCCAGGTCACCGATATCTACCCCAACGCAGAAGACCAGGTGGTATCATTTCTTGGGCGATGCTACCATCTGAAAGCTCAAAATGGCTTTAAACACCACTAAGCAGAGTGCAGAGGCAAATCCTTCCAGAAGGCAGTCCATACCTGTCTCTCCTAGTTGCTCCTGCATATTGTTAACACAGATTGTTACCTTGGCAGGTGACAGAGTCGTGTCCCAAAATCTGGTCCTCGGCACAGGCACACTGCCTGCCATTGGGGATAGCCAGGCAAAGGCTGCTGCAGCCCCCATTGTTCACTCGGCAGCTGTTGGAACCGACTGCAAAAGAGAGCAGAGGAAAGAGTGAGAGGAGCTGGGCCACCGCTTTACAGGGAAGAGCACAGATGGCAAAGAGAAAGGGGAGAAAACAGGAGCCTAGAAAGCTCTTTGTGTTACAGAACGGAATTAAGAGGCATCCTGAAATGTTTCCCAGCAACAAATAATGTCTGGGTTTCAGCTCACTTTTTAATTCTCTTCTTTTGCCACATCAGTCCTGGCACTGATCCTAGCACAATTCTTACAGAAAGGGGACGCCTGGTGCATTTGAATCTCTATCCTCCAAGCCCTTTCTTCTGTGGGCCTGTTCTCACAACCATGGATTTCAGATTAGTCTCAACTGAATATAATGTCTAAACCTATAGGGTTTTTTTCCTCCTCCTCCCACTCCCATTCCTGTGGTCGCTTTCACGCATTCTCTCAGGTACAAGCAAAGATAGATCAAATACATGAGGGGAGCTCCAAGCAGTATGTCTGAGGTAGGGTGCTGTCTAGAGGACTTAATCAGGAGCATGAGGCCCACTGCACGAACCTCTCTCACGAAGGTGGTACCTCAGAAAGAGGGCACAGTCTCTATGGGACCCATAGCACTGGCCTCAGATTGTTTGTTTGTTTGGTGAACTTGTATACTGCTGACTTACTGCAAACTACTCAAAGCTGTTTACAACACCATAGTGAAACAATAACCCCAACCGCCCCCAACAAAACAAAATACATCACCAGTGAGCACATAAGGGATTCCCATGCATCTGGCAGAATAATCAAATGTACCTCAGCAATACAACAAAACAGGAAGAGCTCTCTAAATGAAGCACATTGTTTTATTTCTTGCCCTTTTGGTGCTGGAATAAGCAAGAACCCAGGAGGACCTGCACAAGTAACTGCATAAGTATTCGGAAATGGCAATATTTAAAAGCAAACTCCATACCAGAGTTGGGAGTTGCTTTCCGCGCAATTAAATGTGCATCCATTTCCACATGCATCTGTTCAGACACTTTTCCGCTAGCAGAATGAGATGAATAAAGACATATGGGCAGAATAGCTATTCCCTTTTTTTTTTCAAGGAAGGAAGTATAGTCTGTGTTCATGACCATCAGTATTGCACAGTTTCATCGATAAAAAATAAAAGAGGGTAATCGTGCATGCATGTCATAAATTGGCTCTTAGGCAAAACGTAATTGCTAACCCAACTAGCGAAGGGCCATTGAATCAATGGGGCTGACAGAACTGCTGAATAACCAAAGTTCCACTGATTCAATGTGTCTAATCTAGTGGAGACTAATAATTCAGTTCCCCTTGGTGAACAGCTTCAGATTGGGGAAAGATGGTAACCAGAATCCAGGCTCAGTGGGCGCTGATCCACTTTCTTTGCAACAAGCCCACAGAGTACTCGGGAGCATAATTATCAGGGTACATTTAAAATTACATAAAAAGCTAAGGCAGCCAATTTAATTAATTTGCACCCCACTAGCAAATCACACCCAATTTTAATTACTGTAATCACTGTGAACAGGTAAATGTGATGCAGCCATCTCTCAAGCTGGGGTATCTCTTGAATTCAATTCATCTGGCAGAGTTTTTTCTCTGATTCGGTAAATATAGCAGTAGCTCTTCAAGTACTGAAAGCTCCTGAAGCTCAGTAGAGGCCGATTACTCCTCTGGAACCTCTGCATCTGCTCATATATATGGGTTCTGGTGCAGTTTTGTGCACATGCAGTGTTTTGCCACATTTATAAGTTTGCCTGCAACTCTAGTCTCAAATCAAGATGCCGGCCACAGAGACTGGCGAAACGTTAGGAAGAACAACCTTCAGAACAAGGCCAAAGAGCCCGAAAAACCCACAACAACCATTAGATCCCGGCCGTGAAAGCGTTCGCGAATATAATATTTATTTAATTAAAAAAAGTCAAAGAAGTGTTATATGTACAATCATCAATACTGTATCCTATCGAGCTGCTCAAAGCAATTAACAACAGAGAATCTTCATTTCCTAATTTCACGCTGTTTTTAGGCCCCAAGTCTTAGGGAGTATGAGAGATCTTCTCATCTAATGAATAGGCAAAATCAATGCAATTCTCCATTTTGTACCTTTGCAGCTGGCTCCTACAGGCTCCAACTGTGACTCGTCTATTCCACCTTGCTTCTTTACTTGGTAGCCCTCTCTGCAACCAACAGTTCCTTTTCAGAGGAAGAAACTTTGGTTGTGAACCAAAATGTTTCTCAGTCCCATAACTTTCTGCAAGATTTCTCCCTTTTTACTTCCCTTTCTCAGGATTTCCCTGCCATTAAGCTTTACTTAGTTTCCGTCCACCAAATTTTGCACATCATTCCTTAGATACTGCACAAGAATAGATGACATACTTCACATCTCCTCTTCTGGATGAATTATGCTTTGTCTTCAAGAACCTGTTTCTTGAAATAGCTAGCTATGTCTTTCTTTTCTCAATCCTTAGACCAACTAGCTGGAACATAGTTTGTTTCAGTTACAAGATTAATGGAAGGTCAGGAGCAAATACAGTGTTTTATAAAGCGCTAACTGTGGTTGATCTTACATAATTATAATTTCATCTGAATAAAAGTTGTTCTACTTTACACTTTTCATTTCACTATTGCATAGTGTCAGAAATTCACTGGTTTTCCTTTAATTTCTTTTATATTGTGCCTTCATTTGGTGGATCTTATTCCCTTTTATCTGTGATTTAAATAAATTTTCAAATTAGCTGCTCCTGTGGATAGCCTCAGATCATCTCTGATTACACCCTTTGCCTACTGGGCAAAAATAAAAATAAAATAAAAATAAAGGACCTCATTTTCAGTGGGATTCAGTTTGCTGTTGTAAGATACTGTATTTACTCAGGACCACTGTACTCCCACAAAAAGAGAACTGCATTTCCCAAGAAGCTTTGCAGCAAGGCGATGCCCCCCTTTTCTTTGACAGAGGAAAGGAAAAAAGGCATATGGAATGCAGGCCCCAGTTGGCAATGCCTGCCGTTCTAGCCCAAGCTGGCAGGCTTTTGGGTCTGCTCTCATGCAACACAGAGGACTTCAACTTCCAGAAGGTTCCTTAGGGAATTTTTAGGGAATTCTGAGTGTTGCAGTCCAACAACACAAGGGAGCCCAATCCTATCCAAAGCCTTCTCAAACTGCTCCCTAAGATCCATCTCTCTTTGAATCTAACAATACTCCAGATTGTATCATTGCAAATATGGCCTTATGCAGTTGTAAGCAAATGCAGCAAAACCCTGCAGTGCAAAACTGTGATCAGCTTGTACCTTTACTCTTAGAAAATCAAAGCCCTTCCTCTTTCTATTGCTCTCCTCTGCTGGTTACAACCTCTGTCCCGCTGAGAAGCAGGTAATAAAAGAATCACTGTGTTGCTTTCTCCCTTGTCACCCTGGCACCCTGAGCCCCAATAGGCTATCCGCTATTCCTAGATAACAAAGAGTAGGTTTATGGCACTAGAGACACTCAAGGTGTACCCTTCTGGGCATCTTGCCATGTACCTTGCTGCTGTTGGGCATCATACATGCGGATCTCAAAGATTGGTGGACGTTCATTACGCAAAAGCGTAATGGCCTTGGTCTGCTGATTGAGGCGATAAATGCTTCCGCTCCGGTACTCTGTCCAGAAGAGGTAGTTGCCATAGTGGCACAGCCCAAAGGCATGGTTCAGCTCAGTACCATCATACACAACCTGCATATTGGGGGGAGGGGGAGGGGGAAATAAGAGAGAGAGAGAGAGAGAGAGAGAGAGAGAGACAGAAAGGGCCTTTTCAGATGGTGTGACTCATCAATGGGGCCGTATACAGATTGACTGACTGACTGTCTTATTTACAGACTGCCTTTTCCCCAATAACGAGACTCAAGGCAGCTCACAATGTTAAAAAAGTAGAATTAAAAAACACAACAGATTATACATTGGAGAAACAATTAAACTATAATAGTAATTAAAATACATTAAATGATTTAAAACATTTAAAGCTTTAAAATGGCATTCAAGGACTCAGTTATGATTGTTAAAAACCTGCCTGAAGAGGTGGGTCTTCTACTACAAGCAAAAAGATAAAATGGATGGAGGCCAACCTAACTTCCCAAGGAAGAGCATTCCATAACCTGGGAGCAGCCACAGAGAAGGCATCCTCTCTTCTGTTCCCCTGCCTGCACTGGCCATGGAACCAAGAGGAGGGCCTCCTCTGATGATCTTAAGAGCTAAGAAGGTTCATATGGAGAGATACAATCCTTCAGGTAGCCTGGAACCAAGTTCTATAAGGCTTTATAGGCAACAATCAGCATTTTGAACTGGACCTGGAAATGGACTAGTAGCCAGTGCAGTTGTTGTAGCAGGGGTGTTATATGATCCCTTATAACTGGCCCCAGTCAGTAGTCTGGCTGCTGCATTTTGAACCCTTTGAGTTTTCCAAACCGTCATCAAAGGCAATTAATTAGCCACTGCTCTTCCAGCCTTCACAACTGGACTACTTTGAGAGAGCCCATTTTAAGGTTCAAAGCATGGGAACTATACATGACTGCATTTTGTTTTCATAGTGAATAGAAGTCTGTCTACCAGCATATATACTGGTAAACCAAACGACCAATAGGCTGATGTTTTTGCTTCACAAATGCAACTGTTGTGGATTTACTACTGTTACCTGCATCCTACTCAGTGATACATGCAACCTTATACAGAGGTGCACAATAGCTCCACCCTCCTCACCAGCATTATCTTGAATGCACTGACAATTTTAAATGATATGCCATCCCGCCAGAATTTGGAAATTCTCTATTTGTATTTCTTGGACTACAACTCCCAGAATCTCACAGCCAGCATTCCTAATCATTATAGGAATTATAATTTTAAAAAGTAACTTTCTCTCATCTAGAGTACTGTGTCCAGTTCTGGACACCACATTTTAAGAAGGATGCCAACAAAATGGAGCAAGTTCAGGTGAGAGAAACAGGGATTATCAGGGGATATGGATATTACTAGATATAGACAGAGCTAGCAAATCCTCACTCATAGGAATGAATCTCCTTCTGGGTTCAGCCTAGAGAGGGAGAGAATGAATGCAGATCATCACACATATAGCCCACAAAGACTCAAGGCAATCAGAGGCCTAAACCTTGTATGAAATAGTTGAGCAGAGGGAAAGGCAGTAGCAGACATAGGTCAGAGAAGGTAACAGAACAATGGAAATATGCTGTGATGCAGAGAGGATTGTAATCAATACTGACCTTGCGATCGGTGCCATTCAGCATAACCATCTCAATCCTGTCATAAAAGGCATCCACCCAATAAAGCACCTTAGCCGGAATGTCCAGGCTTAGTCCATTGGGCCACAAGACAGTTTTGGAAGTGATAAAGATGTTGCGGTTGGAGCCATCCATCCAAGCCCTTTCTATCTTTCCCCTCTTGCTGTCCTTTGGGTCCTCCTCCCAGTCAGTCCAGTACATCCATCTGAGAGAGAAGAAGCACACAAGCCATTTTTATTTATTCTGTTATTTTTTCAAGGCAAGTATCTATTATTTTTAAAATATATACATATAAGGCTTTGAGTGAGATATGGACAGTTCATGCCGGCAATCTAAATTAGGAACCCTATTCAGAGCAAATCATTTACTCCCACAAAAGCAATTCCAATGAAGTATTTCATTTGTGTGCTGTTCACATATTCACCTCCACAGCTATTCAACTATTCCCATTCTATTTTGCTTTGTCTCCAAGATATAAAATAAGGTGGCAGCAAAGAAGCAAAAAGCCATTCATCCTCCTTGTTTGAAATCACTTGGCAGAACTTCATTAAGAGTAGAAAAATGGACTTGTAAGAAAAATGGAGCGTAGAGGTTCTGCAATCACACAACTAAGCATCCTCCTAAGAGCAAACTAGTTCTCCAAGTGCCTTTCCTTATGCTGCAAGAAAGGCACCACTTGATCACAAGAGCAGGTATTCATAGGCTGGGGAAATCCTTGAGTTTGTAGATGTTCAGAGAGATAATCAAGGGCAAAAATCCGAATGGAAGTACAGGTGTTGAGCAGAGGTGGGGGAATCCAAAGAAGCCTAAGGAAAACAAAGCAGGCCACAGAATGCTGAATGCTTATTAGCTGGGACCAATAATGGGATTTAGGCCACAGCTTTGAAAGGGACTATGTTTCCTGTTTTGTGAGAGACTGAACATTGTGGATTGGAATATGAATACACTGCACAAAAAGTTAAAATGCATCCTCCTCCTCTTCCTAGTCTAATTCTGGGGGAGGGTGTGTATCCATGTTTGCTGCATCTGAAACAAATCAGGAAGGGAAATGGGAACCCAAAGGAAGAGGTCTTAGACACCACCTTTCTTCCTCTCCCTTTCTTTTCATTTTTGTTACATGATTACATGCAAAGTATATCCTAGGTTTCCTACTACCTGATAATTACTTACTCAGTTACAGTAAATGAACCACTACTACTGAATGCTCAAAGGGTGTTTATTATTCTAGTCAGCAGATTCCATACTACAGACAGCAACTGGGAGCTATACCAAAATGCTTCCAGATAGAGGATTCCTGTTCAGGCTGCCAGTTCATTCCCCATACCCTCCCCTTTAAGGATATTCTATTCCACCCTGGTCGTCCATTCCCCATCCAGGTTTCTCTCCTCATCTTCCCCTGCCACAGAGGTGGAAAGAGAGAGATGCATCACAGAAAAGGAAATTATGTCAGAAAAGGCTGAAGTGAAGTATTGGCTTGAAAAAAGATGCTGCATCAGCTGGGAGGCCCTCCAGAAAACCCCACAGAAGGGACATCACAAGGGCCAAGCAACAACCCAGACCTTCACTTGGAAGGGCACTTGCCTAGAAGATTATTAATGATGTTTACAGACTGTGAGAGCCCACGAAAGCACTGTTTTTGGGTACGGCAGCTCCCAGAATCCACCAAACAAGGAACCCTGTGGCCACGCCACTGAGGAATGTATAAGTAGTAGTTCAAAGAATTCACTTCCCCAGCCATTGTAGACTGCATAGGCTCCTTGTCCTCTCTCACCTCATGAACAGGCTGAGTTCAAATACTTACTTGGTCTCAGCACGGCTTGCTTCCTCCTTTGAATCAATCAGAGCATGGCTAATTCAATTCGTGCTAGATGGAACAGTTGTTCTGCACTGCCCCAGAAAGCAAGCATTACACGGACAAATACTGAGATATGACAAGCTAACACAGGTCAAATGTCTCCTTTTGACCATAATCAACTGCCAACAAGATCTACAAAACTAAGTACAGCAAGCATCTTGAAATATATCTGGGTTAGGATATGGATGCAGAACTAGGTGTTAGTGGAGACAAAGGAAATTAATCTCATTTGACTGGGATACCATTTAGACCCTCGCATAGCACTCCCCCCCCCAACACACACTGTACATCAGAGTCAGGGGAGTTCATGAGCGAGTGCACATTGCAGTTCTATCCCCTGCTGGGCTTAACTGAGCATCTTTTAATAGCAGGCCATGCCATTCAGTCCCTCAGGGGCTAGCAGCCCCAAAGATTCAGGTGTGGAAACAGAGAGGACCCCTGGGCTGAAAGCTTGTGGACTCAAGACAGTAAACAAACAATTTCCAGAAATTCCAGAAACAGTAGAAATAGAGGTGTCACCCACAAGAAGACCAGTGAAATACACATGAGAGATCAGAACTCCAAAGAAACAAAGACCCACCATAATCCAGTGGGGAATAGCTAACTGCTCTCTGGTGCTGCTTTATGATAAGCACTGAGGAAATGATAGTCAATGGGTCAATGAAAGTTTGTGATCAGATATACTTCTGCGCCAAAGGAAAATTTTGATTTCGCACATGGAAGAAAATAATTCTGCAAAATTCACTGAAGACAAACAGCAAGAAAATCTGTAATTTTTGCATAATTCATCCCATGTCTTCCAGTGAAAAAAATTGGGAAATTCTAGGCACTCATTCATTGTTAAGGGTTTAGGTTTGTAGCAATCATAGCACTATGCAGGAGCAATCGGTATACTAAGATGGTTTCCTAAGCTCTGAAGTTCCTGGCTTTTCTTGGAAATGAACTTAATGGCCTGGCTGTAGCTTCTAGTGAAGCTCTGGCTACACTGCTGTAAACCGCAGCCATGACTTACAAGGTAGGTATGGGTCCTCTGTCATCTTGTAGAACCCTAGTTCCCAAACTAGGAAGGGTATTAAAAGGGGGGGGTGGAGGCTGCAAGACAATGAGATCTTTCATTTTAAAAAGTGTTTTGTCAGCTTAAATAAATTTCTCCTATACACAGGCATATTTTCACTTGTATTCGCGAAGGCTTTCACGGCTGGGATCTGATGGTTCTTGTGGGTAAAAACCCACAGCAAAAAGAGGTTACTTACCTGTAACCATAGTTCTTTGAGTGGTCCTGTGTGAATTCACACATATGGGTACTGTCTGTGCCTGCGCTGACTCTCTCGGAAGATTCTAGAGCTAAAAGTAACAATTTTATGGTGTGATCCCCCACGAGGTATTGCTCCTCCCACCCACCATCTTCCCCAGTTCCTTAATTTTATCTGCTGGGTATGAAGGAAAGAATGAATTAAATAATTACATAGTTAACCTGTGACGAATAGAGGGGAAGGATGGGCGGGTTGTGTGAATTCACAGAGGACCACTCAAAGAACTATGGTTACAGGTAAGTAACCTCTTTTTCTTTTTTGTGGTCTCTGTGAATGCACACATATGGGTGACTAGCAAGCTGCACTTACCGGTTGGTGGGTCGTCACAGTAAGAAGGATGACAGGACAGATCTGCCGAATGCAGCATCTTGGCGTGCTCTGATGTCCAGCCGGTAGTGCTTGACAAACGTGGATGGTGTGGACCACGTAGCGGCATGACAAATGTAAGGAACCTCGGTGCCACGCTGAAAGGCAGTAGAGGTGGACAGCGCCCTGGTGCAATGAGCTGTCAAATGTTCTGGAGGGGATTTCCCCGACAAGCTGTAAGCAAGGAAGATAGTCTGTACAATCCTACGTGCTATGGATTGAGAGGAGGCTGAGGCCCCTTGGTTTGGGCCGTGGAAGCATAGAAAGAGTTTATTGGACTTTCTAAAAGTCTTTGCCCTTTCGACGTAGAAAGCCAGGGCACGTCTAACATCGAGATTATGGAGCATATGTTCTAGGGGTGACGAAGGAGACTTGAAGAAGCAGGGTAGTATAATGGGTTGGTTGAGGTGGAAGTTGGAGACCACCTTCGGGAGAAAGGAAACGTCAAAATAAAGAATCACTTTATCGGGGTGAAACTGGATAAAAGGAGGATCGGCTTGAAGAGCAGCGAGTTCACTAGCCCATTTGGCTGATGTGATTGCAACAAGGAAGGCTGATTTAAGAGTCAGGAATTTGAGGTCAATGGACGCCATGGGCTCGAACGGAGGCCGCATCAAGGCATTAAGAACCAGCTGAAGTGACCACTGGGGGGTGATACGTTGTTGAGGAGGACAAATGTTGTTAAGTCCTTTGAGGAACTTCTTGACAGTTGGGTGAGAAAACAACTTGGAGGAGGGAGAGTCATCGGGCTGGTGAGCCATAATGGCTGACAGATAGACCTTTAATGTGGACTGAGAAAGGCCGAAAATGAAGAGATGGAGGAGATAGGCGAGCAGAGTCTTCAGGGAAACAGGTATAGCAGGTAAGTGATTGTCCCGAGTATACTTTAAGAAAGATTTCCATTTGTTTTCGTATAGGAGGGTAGTGGAAGGTTTTCGGGCTCGAAGAAGAACCTGCATCACATCGGGAGTATCCTCCATGCCGCAAGACTGAGAGAGGCAACGTCTGGGTGAACAACGAGGCTGTGGTCGAGCAAGAGGAGATCTGGGCGGAGAGGGAGGCGGAGCATGTCTGACGACATTGAGACCAGGTGAGTGAACCATGGCTGGCGGGGCCAGTACGGGGCTAACAGGATGGCATTGGCCCTGTCCTGTCGGAGAAGGATGATCACCCACTGGATGAGAGGCAGAGGGGGAAATACATATAGAAGATCTTGAGACCAGTCCATCAGGAACGCGTCTCCCAGAGAGTTGCTGTCCCGACCCACTCTGGAGCAGAACCAGGGACATTTCTTGTTGGCATCGGCTGCAAAGAGGTCTATTGAGGGTGTGCCCCATCACCGGTACAGCCGCTGGAATATGACATAGTTCAGAGTCCATTCGTGTGTTCTCGTCGGTAGCCGACTGAGCCGATCTGCCAAGGTGTTGTCATCTGTGGAAATGTGGACGGCAATAGGGAAAACATGGTGGGAATAGCACCACTCCCAGAGGTTGACTGCTAGGTAGAGCAGGGAAGGGGAGTGGGTACCCCCTTGCTTGTTGACATAATAAAGTGCAGTGGTGTTGTCTGTTGCCAACTGCACCACTTGTCCTCGAATGAGGGGAAGGAAGGCGTGGAACGCTTTGATGATTGTCAACAGTTCTAGATGGTTTATGTGAAGTGGGAGCTCCTGTTTGGACCAGAGTCCGTGAACTGTGTGCTGGAGGCAATGAGCACCCCACCCCATGGTGCTGGTGTCTGTTGTGACCTGTATTGAAGGTCTTAGAGGCGAAAAGAGCCTGCCGATGAGAATCAGAGGTTGAGGGGCAGGTAGGGATCTGTCAGCTTGGTGGGGGCGATATTGTCTATAAGGTTGGAACCTTTGGTTTTGATATTGTTTAGGATGATATTGGCCCGAATGGTAGAAGGGCCATTGATAGGCGGAAGACAGCTGGGTAGAATAAGAGCGCGCAGTCTTACGCTTCTTATGGAAGTCTTCCATGGTGTCATCAGTTGTGGAGTTGAACGTCGGCACCGTCAAAAAGCAAGTCCTCAATTCTCGACTTGGTGCCATCAGAGATTGTGGAGGATTTAAGCCAGGCATGGCATCAAATAGAAATAGAGGTGACTAGAGTTTTAGAAGCGGCCTCAGCGGAGTGTCACGCTGCAATCCTCTGATACTTGGCGAGAGAAATAGCCTGTGAATGGATGTTGATGAGGTCGGATCTCATGGGTTCAGGAGATGATTCAATGAAACGAAGGACTTGATTCCAAAGATGACGCTGAAAAGTGCCCATAGTTGCTTGATAACTGATGCTTCTGAGTAAGAAGGCTTGCAGAGAGTAAATTCGTTTGGCCATCGTGTCGACTTTCCTGCCGTCCTTATTGGCGAGAGTAGGTTTGGACTTAGCCTGAGATCGAGCTTGACTAGACTCGACGATGATAGAATTAGGCACTGGATGTTTGTTGAGGAATTCGGCCTCGACACCATGG